AATTACCAATCAACAGCAACAATTTACACTGCCCTTCAACAAAACACATAAGAACATAAAAATTCAGCCAGACACAATCCAAACCCCCTCATCAAATACCCCCAAAAAAAGAAGGAACAACTCTAGAAAAAATCTATTTCATAGTAATTCCCAGACGGCTTCACGTCGACAGCCCCCACCTTACCTGCCATGGGCCCAGGCCCAACCGCATCCTGGCCCATCAAAAAAGGCTGCGGGACCTCCGGTGGGCTCGCGCACCGTATAAGAGCCCAATTTACACTCTGAAAAAACGGGTGCTGCTTGATCTCGGTTGCTCCACGCCTATACGCCAGCCTGTGCTGCGGCTCCTTCACCAGCAGTCCCCGAATAAGGTCTCGGGCAGCAAAGCTCACAGTAGGTGTTTCGGGGAAACTCAGCGGCTGCCCCACCACATTGAACAGGGTTGCCCGGTTGCCCGAGCCTTTGAATGGGGTCCGCCCGAAAAGCAGCTCGTATAAGAAAATCCCGAAAGTCCACCAGTCGACTGCACTGCCATGCCCCTCGCCTTTGATGATCTCTGGCGCTAGATACTCGTGCGTACCCACAAACGACATGGACCGCGCGTTTGTGGGCTCGGCTATGAGTTCGGGGAGTGGGCTCACTTGACTGTGCTGCATTTCTGTGGTTTTTCTGGGCTTTTGGTACCTTTTGGGCTTACGCGGGCCGAAGCAGGTGGGCTGGACCATGCAGGATGTGGGCTGGAGGCAAGTGGGCTGCATGCAGTGCGCAGAGGCTTTGGAGTTAGGGTTGGAGTTTGAGGACTTGACGAGTGTGGGGCTAACGGAGCATCTCAAGGAGAGGTCGAAATCAGAGAGCATGATGTGGCCGTCTTCACGGACGAGGACATTTTCGGGCTTTAGGTCTCGGTAGATGATCCCGAGCATGTGGAGGTACTCGAGGGCCAGGAGGACTTCAGCAAGGTAAAACCTGTGAAAGGGTTTTGGGATGAAAAAGGTTAAAATCAATCGTGAATTAAGTGCAAGCTTAAATTAATGGAGAATTTGTTAATGTGAAAATGAATTGGGGTGTATATATATATATATCCATGCAATTGCTACATAACTTTTGTACAGAAGATAAATTCAACTGTGATAGGTTAGACAACATACACTCACTTATCAGTCAATGAGAATTCATACAATCAAGTCGCGAGATTAAGAAACTATACCTATTGAGAGAGAGAGAGAGAGAGAGAAGAGAGTATCTAAGTGCAAAGTCATTGAAATGGTGTAGTTGAGCATTAGAATCTAGTAACAGTTCAAATCATGAAACTGTGATGGCAAAATATCAAGCTACATTTAAACCTTCGATCAACTTAACAAATAAAGACACCATTTTTCACAGCCTGTTTTATTTCATCTCTTCCAAAGTTCACCCACCAGGAAGTTATTAACCTCAATAGCCAAATAACCAACATATATCACAACATCCACATAGCTTGAGAACAATAAATTCTGAAATCATAAATGACTCGACAAAAAAGATATATGACAAACATTAAATTAGTTAAACACCCACACACACACACATTTATGTCAAAGGCAGCAAATTTAACCAAAATCACACCTTGCTGCATGCTCTGGGAAAAACTTTCCGGGCTGTTTCTGCCTAAGCGCGTGCAAATCACCCCCTGAGCAAAACTCCATCACGAGAAAGGAAAACTTCTCCGTTTCAAAGTGAGTATACAATGTCGGCAAAAACGGATGATCCAGAGACTGCAAAATCTCCCTCTCTGTCTGAGCCCGCAGAACCTTTTTCCGACTAGCAAGGGCCTCTTTATCCATCACTTTCATAGCAAATAAAGTCCTAGTCCCAATCAGCTCCGCCAAATGAACACTCCCGATATCCCCACACCCCAACCTCTTAAAAATCCTGAAATTTTTAAGATCGAGCGCCCCACCTTCACGCGACCTGACAGCCTGGATAGCCTCCCACCTCACGTCGTTCGCCTTGTGCGGCTTGTAAAGGGCACTGCTAAAGCTACCCGAGCTGCTCTCGTCACTAATGTCACTGCCCGTGCTGGCCCGGTTAATGCTACTGGTTTTTCTGCTCTCAATTAACTCAAACGAGTTGTTAATTTCACCACTCTCTACGGATTTTCCCAGGCTACTCGCTGAGAAGCTCTGTTTTGCCTCAGTGTAATTCGTGGCTGAGTACAAACTGCCCTGGGGGCTCAAGCAGTAGTTCGTTCCAGATTTGGATTGTGACCGGGGATTTGTGAAGTCGACAGTTAGTCCATTATTTGGAAAGGAGGATAAATTCACCGAATCAAGAATTTCATCCGAATCGCAATTCTTCTCGGCATTAGCAGATGGTGGGTGGATTCTTCCATGGCTTTTAAGCGGCGTAAGGTGATTCTGAGCATTATCTTCCTCTATTTCACAATGAAATCGATATTTTACTCCCTCTTGTGGTTTGTGATCGCCCTTTTGCTTCATATTGGGCTTTTCAAAGTAGTGCTTTGAGTTAAGCCTGGAGGCAGATGGTGGATATGAGGTTCTCATAGCATGCTCAGTAGGGATTGAGGTGGATTTAGACGAGCTTTCTTCGTTTTTCAATTTCTTCGTAATTGGAGGGTTAGGGGGGCGAGTTGTACCGGGTGCAGATGAGGAATTGTACTCTGCATTACCAGTGGTTTTGGGAACTATCTTTAGGTAACTAACTCCTTCGACGAGCGAATCTATGGCACCGTACGGCATGGTTACTGTTACAAATAATCGTAAAATGACAAAAATCAATTAAAAGTTTCAACAAGTTATGAAAATGGGTATTTCCTAAAAAAAACAAAAAAAAAAATGATTAGGCTCACTAAAAGAATAGGGACTGAAATGATTAAATTCAGACCGGGCTTTAATATCAAACAGCTCTCTTATCTTATACTAAAAGCAAAGCTTTGTGCATTGTGAAGTATAGACCTAAGTTAAGAATATACGGCTCCTTAAACAATCTAATCTTAGAGTAATAGAAAAGGAAAATTATAATTTGTGAAAACTATAGATCCCTTCGAAATCAGAAAATGACCAGAAAAACCATTGCCCAATTAAATTCAACTCCATTAAACCTGAAACGCAAAAGAACCCAAGAAATCCGGGGATACACAGAGCTTATTATTGATCATAAATCGATCCAGTTCGTGTCTCACATCACCATATAAACATAAGAAACGAAAAACTCCCACAAAATAGGATTAAAAAAAAAAAAAAATCTTGATTTTACCTTATCTAGAATGCCAGTGTTGAACAATCTTTCATCTCACTTGAGAAAGTAAACGAACTTTGCAGTCAGATCAGATCGAAATCAAGAAACAGATTCGAATAGAAAGATTACAGCACAAGCCCTCCCTCCCAAAACCCAGGAGAAGAGTAAATGAAAACAAACAAATTGCATGACAATAAAAATACTAATAAATCCAGCAAAAGATTGTTTTGTTCATTTCCTTTTCTGTCGTATAATGAATTAAAATGGTAGAAAAAAAAAAGGGGGTTAACAAAGGAAGTAGCCTGAAAACAAAAACCAGTCACAAGCAAAGCTTTAAAAAGCAAGAAAACACGAAAAAATGACGATGGGGGGTTTTCTTATTGACAGCAATTCAGTCTTTAGTCTTTACTCAATTTCAGAAAATAAAATCACTCAATCAGTTGAAAATTTTCACCTTTTCTTGTTTCTCGTAACGCCTCTCTTCGTGGGAGACTGGGAGTGCGGTGTAGTACGGTATACTCTGCGTGCAGCTTGTTTTTCTCATGAAGGGAGTTAATGCACTCTCTCACTCTACAATCTACACATAGTTTTCACGCAGTGCGTGTGTTGATGTGTGTAGGGAAAAAATAAAGAAAAAAACAACTGGAAAATAGAGTTATTGGGCCTCTTTATTTGCCCAGTGTAGTTTAAAGAATAAATAAAATAATAATACCTTTCTGTTATTTTAAGTTCTTTATTTTTTTTTATTTTTTTTGTAATTCTTTCTTTCTTTTATTGTCACGATTTAATGTTGTGCTTGCAAATGCAGGTGATAGAATAAAATACTTTCATTCATTATTTAATATTAACCATTAGTTGGTAAACTAACACTAGAAAGTGGAATATAAACACTCAAATGGAATTATTCCAAATGGTGCTTGAAATAATGTTACTGAAATCATTTTTCATATTTCTTTTCAACTTATTTACTCTTCCAATTTTTGTTTCTTCAATTATTTTAAAGAGAACACTCTAAGATGACTGTTGTTTCTTGAAAATGATCCAAATTAATTATTACTAGTAATCCACCCGTGCGATGCACAGGCTAACATTAAAACTTATATATTTGTCAATGATTGTTCAAACACATTAGAAAAGATTTGAGTAAAAAAAAACATCTAACTAAATTTAATTATTACATATCTTGGACACCTAGTTTTATACATATTTTTAATGAAATTATGAATGTTCCATACAATAAAAACCATTACATTAGTTGCAACTTTAAAAATAAAAGGATACATTTTAATATTTCTTAATAATATGATATAACAGTGGAAAAATAACCATTGTAATATTTAAATATTTTTTGTAATATATAATGTTGAAATATTAAAATAAATCATATTAAGGCACAAAAAAAATAGATTTTAATAAGTCCTATAATTATAATATATGTTGAACTTTGAACTTGAATAAAAATTATTAGAAGTTGATCAGTATATATATATATATATATATATACTGATGTATGTGAAATATTTTTTTATTATTATATTTTATAATATGAGTGCAGTTCATATGATGTGAGAAATAGAGTATTTTTTATGATATGTGTAGTATGAACCGAGAAATAATAGAAGTTTTAAAGAAAAAAAGTTGATAGTCTAAAAGTCGGATTATTGTATTTATCTTCTTAAAAAGGTGTGGCAATATATGATTGCATGTTAGTAGACTGAGCACTCCAATTTCACATTTTTTTTTTAAATAGACAATAAATAAAAGAGAAAAAAAATTGATAGTATCTAGAAAGTATATGGCAACACCTCAAAAGGTATATATTGATTTTGAACATAATATTAAATAAATTTTTTTCCCAAAATGGCTAGTAGTTTTTGGCGGGATTTTCCACTTTTGGAATAGATTTTTTGCATTGTATTTCACTTTAATATATATATAGATTTTATACGATGATTCTATTCAATTGATTGTTCCAAGTAGCATACATTTTTTAGGACACTTCAAAAATAAACATTTAGACTACATTTTTATCTTTTTCACTCAAATATACATTACAAGTTTGCAAGGCCACATTTGGATATAATGACAATCATATAAAATACAATGTTATTTCATATATTTAGTAGAAAATGCTACAGTCCCGTCACGGAATGATTTCGTGAGAGTTTTTAACCATGAATTATCTCCGTGATGGGCCGTAGTTTTTTCCTTTATTAGTATTGATT